GTACTAAAAAATAAATTTAAATTATTACAAATTCGATTAACTCTCGAAATTTTACGCGAATTGTATAATTAAGACGAAGGGAATAACATATATTATTTGAAAAATTACATTAAGAATACCATAAACCACAATAGTTAACAACTTACAATATTTGAAAAACATATTAACTCTCAAAATTTCACATGTGTCACATAAATTAGAACAAATGAAGCAACATATATTATTTGAAATTACGTTAAGAATATTATTAATCACAACTTAAAGTATTTAAAAATAGATAACATATATTATTTGAAAATAATGTAAAAAATATTATAAATCATAATAATTAACAATTTAACGGATATTGTGCTCGTGCTTGCATTTAGAAGTGAGAATGTTTAGGAGCTTAGGGTCAGTCAGTCAATTGACCGATTTGCCCTTCTTCTTCAACTTCCTCTATTTACTACAAAAATAGTACTAAAAATCAATTAAAAATATTAAAAAATTGGTTAATTCTTGAAATTTCACATGTATTGCATAATATAATAGAGTGAGTAACACATATTATTTGAATGAAAATTATATAAATAGTACTAAAATATAGTTTAAAATAGTACTAAAAATTTGATCAACTCTCGAAATTTCATATGTACTGCGTAATTGAGATTGAGTGAGAAATATATATTATTTGAAAAATAGAATAAATATGTGATATTATTAGAAAGAGCTTTAATATATATTTTAAAAATTATTTTGTCTTCCGTATATGATTTTCTGCATATATGTGGAGTTTTAAAGTTTTTAACATTTTAATATAGAAATATGATTATTTGAAAATTTTAGTACTTTCTTCATTTAAATTTTTCCTTGTTTTTCTTTTAATTTGTTCTAGATTTAAAAATTATATAAAAAGTACTTAAAATCACAATGTAATAATATAAGATATTAAAAAAAACATAATTAAAAATCATAAAAGAAAATTTATTGACTCTTTAATTCCATATTGAAACAAAAGAAGTTTGTTTGAAAATAACATAAAAAGTACCGTAAATTAATAACAACTAAAAATATTTAAGAATCATATAAGAAATTTAGTTGAGTTTCGTAAAAGTACCTACGTCACATAAAATGGAACAGAAAGATTAATATATATTATTTGAAAATGATATAAGAAGTGCTATAAATCACAATAAATTAACAACTTCAAAATATATTTAACAAAATCACATACAAAAAATTATATAACTCTCCAAATTTCATCGGTGTCACATAAATTGAAACAAAGAACTACTCTCAATTTATGTTACTTACTTTCTTTTTTAGTCAGTCCCAAAAGAATGTCACATTTATATATTAAGTAACAATTTGATTATAAAATATTTATTTTACCCTTAATGAAATAATTTACAATCATACAAATTTATATCATTCATTTTGGACCACAAGTTTTAAAAGTCTTCATTTATTTTTTAATCTCCATAGCGAATCAAACTACCTCACATAAAATGGGACGGAGAAAGTAATATATATTGGGCCCGCGCTGGCGCGGAAACCTAATATCTATATATATATAAAAGACCAAGAGTAATAGTCATCATAGTATGGAACTATAGACTTTAGAGTAGTAGTACTAGTAGACAAGTGAATGTTGGAAAATGCCAAGTCAATAAACAGTGTTTCCATCTAATCAACCTCTTCATTCATAAAATAAAATTAGGGAAAAAAACAAAAAGCAAAAACCTCTTCAGTCATAAACACCAAATTGTAGAATACTCCAAAAGTATTTCGACAACAATAACAATAATTAAAAGCACACCGATATTGAGTGTTAATAGAATGAATAATATTCTTTTATTTTTGCTCTTCAAATAACTTAATCTTCATATGCCCATTCTAATCGTGCATTTTACTAATTATACATGAATTCAAGATTTAAAGTTAGATGAATTTTTCAACGAATTTAAATTAATTTGCAATAACAATTAGATTCACATAGTGTATCTCTTATTATATAGACATGGAAAATGAATGAGAGCATCCTACACCTACCCAAAAACAAAAAAAAAAAAACCAAGACTAGTGCTGTTAAGTTAATGATCATAAAAAAGGCCCACATGTGTTCCTCATAGTAAATAGAAAATATGTACAAGACATGCAAGAAAAGAATAAATAAGCACTCAATTGATTGATTGATATTCATGAATTTCAGTGGAAGATTGACTCTGTTATGGAACACTAGAATTCTTCCAGTACTGGTGACTTTGTTAGCATTTTCTATCAGTAAAATAAGGTGCTTTTAAAAGTAAAAGCTAAAGGAAAACGAGTCCAAAACGATTACATATTTTTGACCCTCTAGTCCTAGCATATCTTTGGAAATGACACCACCAAAATAAATTCTAGGAGGGTGTGTTTGGTATGGAGGGGAACTTTTTTGAGAAAAAATATTTTTTAATTTTCTTATGTTAGATATAAATTCCTAAAAGAAAGAGAATAACTTGATGACATTAGAAAAAACAAGTTTCATTAGTGTTATCCCGCCTGATTGTCTACTTCTCATCCTCAATAATACACCCACTCTTCCCCGGCACCCCGGCCCCCACCTCGACTTCTCTAACAAGCCCGTTTACCGCAAGAGTTACATAAACACATATTGTATTTTAATTTTGTTGATCGAGAATCGTATCTGAGACTATTATTGTTTTACCGTCTCACTCTCCAACCTCTCCTCACCTCCACCTCCACTTAGGTTCATTCAAAATTTTTTTGGTGAAAATCTATATTTTTTATACATGGTTAAAAATAAATAAATAATAATAATAATAATAATAATAATAAAAATATATATATATATAGTAGAGAGTGGCGAAGTCAGAAATTTTGTTATGAGTGTCCAAAATTTAATATATATGTATGCAAAATAATTTTTGACCTATGTATTTCGTACTATTTTCTACATACATGGTAAAATTTTCGATTAAGGGTGTCTAATTGGTCACCTTTGGCTATATGTGGCTACGCCACTAATAGTAGATGTTGAATCTCCCTCAACTTTATTGTGTATTTACTTCTTATTTTGTGTTCCTTAATAAAAAATTTATTCCGCCACTGATTGGACTGAGAAGAAGGAATCTTTTGGGTTTTACATTTTTGAAAAGCCAATTATTGACTGTTGCTGATTCTTTCATCAACATGATTGACTTGTAGAACTTAAATTCCATTACAATTTCTTTTAGTTCTTTCAGTTTCTGGCACACCGTGTTCTCCCTTGTATGGTCCATTTGTCCACTCTTTCTCCCCACCCAAAGAAAGAAAACAATAAAATAAAACTTTAAAACGAGGCACAGAATACACTAATAAAGTAGCATTAAATTCAACATCTTGAATAGAAATATTGTATCAAGAACAAAAGCAAGAATATATACTTCCTTATCTGGGGGCTTTAAGCAGATTCCCATTTACCATTTCTAAGACAAAACTTTGCGGATTTTAACCTAAGTTATTGAGTTCTATCAAATCATAGTTGCAACTAGCTCCGCCTAGGTGCTCCTTGGTAGACTAATGCATGCTTGCTTTGAATCTCAGTTTCCACTTAATGAAATTCTAGATATGTTTCTGATTTTAAGCTATTAAGTATATTTGTTTACCTGATTTAAACACTAGTTGGTTTGAATAGGTCTTAATCATTATGTTTTTGAATAAATTCTTACTATTATTAATATGTATTTTGTGTGGATATATAATTTTCATCATCACTCTTTCCTCAAACACCAGCCAACCCCACCAACTATCGATCTCTTCCATCACAATCACCATCGATCATCATTGTCAACCACTATTACCATTGTCAACTATCAACAATATCTGTCATCACAACTATCACTGACAACCACATACCACTACCACTATCATCCACTACCATCACTGTGATCAATCCCTACTACCAGCCACCTCCACCATCACAACAACATCATCGCCAATTACCACCAACACAACGTCAACCAACACAAATTCTTCAGTCACAATCATCAACATCACCAATTACTAACATTGACTTACCATCACAACCACTATCATTATCAACCATCATCATCATGTAGTTACTACAACACCAACCACGTCCATCATCACAATTATAACTATCACCATTACTAGCTACTAACAACAACTATTACCACCACCATTATTAGCCACTAACATGTTATTAACACCACTAATACTAGTCACTAACACCAACGTAACCATTATCATCACTTTCACTATCACTAGCGAACATAATTATCATTTTTTTTACGAAATACTAATTTTATTTTACTAAAATTATATTTTCTTAAATATATAATTACTTTATTAGTTGAATTGTATATTTATTATGTTTACAAATAATATGCATATTTTAGTGTTGAAAAACAAACCGTCTTAATTCTTCAATGTCCAAATTTATATATAACAACTTAACTATTCAAATATTTATTCAGATTCTTGTTAATTATAATAAAAAACAAATGAGGCCTTGATCTAACCGTAGGTAAAACTGAAATCTTTTACATTCAATTTAGTGGCTAGTGTTAAACAAGTTTCTATTGGATTTACTTAGGAGTGAAGATAATTTTTTCAAAAGTGAGAGATGTCAAATTTAAGTTTCTTTTATAGAAAAGGCAAAGAGCTATATGTAATCTATACTATTAATTCACTTTAGTAGCAAGTGGCTTGAACCCATCATAAAGCATTGATTACTTTGATGAATGCCCAACCAACAACATGACCATGTTAGTCAACATACCACTATCTCCAATAAAGCAAACCAAAGAAAACAACAAAGAAAAGGCAAAGCAAAAGTAAAACAGAACCCACAATAAACAGAAAGAAAAAATTAAGTATCCTCCTCCTTTATTTCTTATCATATGTTCCCTTTTTTCTATCTGATATAACCACATTCCTCTTAGGTAAATTCTTCTCATTCCTCTGTTTCCCCCCCTGTTTTCCCCTGTTTTTCCTCTGTTTTCCCCTGTTTTTTCCTCTGTTTCCCCCCCTGTTGTTTTGTTCATATTGTTTGAGATGGGAGAGTGATCTCATTTTGGGCCACACAATTTTTCATTTTTGTTCAATCCCATGTATAATAAGAGGCTTTTGGACGACGAAAAATTGGTTCCAGTAAGTAATCCAAGAACTTTGGTACCATATATGAGCACTAGGGATTGTTCTCAAGGATTTTGCAGTTTTTACTGCCCACAATGGTGTTACATAATTTTCCCTCCACCACCACAATTTGACTTACCTGATGATGATGATGATTCTAGTCCTAATTTCTCTCCTCTAATCATCGCGATCATCGGAATTCTTGCTAGTGCTTTCCTATTAGTTAGTTACTATACTATAATATCAAAGTATTGTGGAAATTCAAGAAGAAGGGGAAGTCATCATCAAGAAGAATCAGAATTAGAAGAGGAGGATCATGATCCTTCAAATCATGAGGCATGGAATGTTAATGCTGCTGGTGGTTTAGATGAAGCATTGATCAAGTCTATTAGAGTGTTTAAGTACAAGAAATGTGATGGATTATTGACTGAAGGAACAGATTGTTCTGTTTGTTTAAGTGAATTTCAAGAAGATGAAAGTCTTAGGCTTTTGCCTAAATGTAGCCATGCTTTTCATGTAATGTGCATTGATACATGGCTTAAATCTCACTCCAATTGCCCGTTATGTCGAGCTCAGATAACTTTTTCTAATGCTCCGCCTCCACCATTACCTCCTCCGGTAATGGAAGCTCCGCGAGAGATTGAAACAACTCCACCAATCCAACCGGAACGTGACATAGAAATGGGCATCAGAGTAGAGGAAACACGAGACGGAGAAGAAAAAGAAGAAGATGCGACAAACCAAAACCATATGAATCAAGAAGTTAGGAGGAGATCATTATCAATGGATTATGCATCTCAACGTCGTTTATCAATAGCTGATGTACTAAGAATTGATCACGACGAATTCCATGATTGTGTAACGGGAGAAGATTGCGAGTTGCAAAGAGATGTTGGAACATCAAAACAAGAAAATAATGGTGAAGAAATGAGTAAGGGTGGAATTAGAAATAATTCACTAGTACAATATTGTCCTATGATGATGAAGAGATCATTGTCTAGTGGGAGATTCTTCTTTACCAAATGTGGGAGAGGACAAAACATGGTCACTACTTTGTCAAATATTTGAATATTTTTGTGTCAATTTTTAGGAGGATTTTTGTGTATGCTATTCAACAAAGGTTGATTAAACATGATGAGTTTGAAAGTTTTTTTTTTCTTCCTCATAGAATTTGAGCTTTTTTGTTCTTTTTTCATCCACTATTTTTGTATGGTTGAGTGAGTGGATGATTGTTCTTTACAAAAATCAAGAGATAGGTCCATGCTTTCTTGAGTTTTGTTTGTTTGATTATTGATGAGAGGCTAATACAGCTATAACTGTTGTATTGAAAAAAAATTGTTGCAAGTGAGTGATTTTTATATATATAGTTATAGAAACTCTTTGTGTTTACGATATTATACATACCTTTTTCTGAAAAACAAATAAATTAAAGCGGTAACAATCTAGATTTCTCCGCACAAATACTAAGGTGTTATATTCTATTTTGATCTCAATGCTGAAAGGTTACATTACAACTCTCGATTCTCGAATATAAACAACAAAAGGAAATACGATTGGCAATCATAAAAGGGACGGAGATAGATCCAGGTGAGAAGAACAGACTGAGCCAAAGCTACAACACTTTTCTTTCTAACCTACAGTCTTTTTTAACCATTTGCTATTATGTCTAAATCTTAAATAAAACTCATCAACATTTTACTCGAATTAATATTTCAATTGAGTCAGTATTCTTCCCCACTTCTAGCTCATAGGGTCTTACGAAGTCCAGCTTGGTGCACACAAGCCAACATGCTTAAAATACGAAATTACAAACCATGAGCGACCGAGTGACCTCAATCTTTATTAACTATAGAAAATTATATATTCTAACGAACAAACTATTAAGTGAATCGAGGTAGTTAATTGTTATGACCTACCTTAAAAGCTCATAATTCAAAACCGAAAATCCAAATTATTCAACCATTAATTCAAAACCAAACTTAAAAAATTAATCCAATCCGAGCTTATTTAGATTGTAATTTCTTCAATTTTAAAACCAAAAATCAGAATCAAATTTTTTATATCCAATCCAATGGCCCGAACATCCACCCCCAATTGTGTTTGTACTAAAAAAAAATGCACTTCGTGTAGTTTTATTTTTAAACCAAAAGTTCAAGGAAGATGATTTCACTCTTTAAATTATATGAAAGTGCTCAACTTAGCAGATTATATATTATATAGTATCTTTTACTGGAATTAACATGCTCGGCTTAGGAAAGAATAAATTAGAGAATTACTAATGATACTTTAATCGATGTCATTAGAATTTTTTCATAATGTTTAATAATGAAGTATGTTTAAATTAGGGTTATTGGGTAGGGCATGGGGACAGGGTTTTGTTCTGAATTCTAATGCTTTTAAGACAACCTGTTAGTTCCCCAACATTGTGTCGTTCATTTTATAGAGTAACTTTCATATATATCAACCATAAAAATTATATTTGTATGCTATATCTATAGTTTGCATAATTGCGCTCCATAGCAAACATAAATATGTATATTTCGCTATACATATACAAAAGAAAGCAGTTATATAATTTCGCTATACATATACAAAAAAAATCAGTTGTGTAATCTGCTTTGATATACATATACAAAAGATCAATTGTATAATTTGTGTTTGTATAAAGCGAGAAAGAGAGAAAGACAAAAGAAAAATGGGCTGGGGAATATCAAATTTGTATAATCATAAGTGTATAGGACGAAAATATATGCATTTGTAGTTATATATGCAATTTTCTCTTGCTTAATACAAACACAAACACAATTTTCTCTCGCTTATCAAAGTATTGTTCAGCCCTCAGCTTAAAGAGTCGATCTTCAATGTTAAGGAATATGTTGAAGAAATGACCGGAGAAGACAAGCTTGACATATTCTTCTTTGGTTGAGGTATGCTTCATTAACTTCTTTCCTACGTTAAAGTTTTCTTTTAGAACATTATATTGTGGTTAATAACTGTTTATCAGTACTTGTGTTCTTTATTATAACATATGAGATATTGTATGCATACTGCTTGCTTTCCGTTACCATGAGATCTGATGTATTATTAGATTCTTCTCAAGTGTGCGACTTGAAATTGGCGCACATAATGCATAGATAGACACCTCTTCATCTGAGAATTAAACACTCCAACTTTTAGGATGTACATCTAGAAACCTTAACTCATCTCCATTGTGTTAGTTGAACACTCCAACGATCATCTACACACCTTCAATACAATATGTTCATGTTAGTGTCGGGTGTTCACGAGCCACAGTAATGACGAGTTGAGGTTTCTAGATGTGCATTCTCGAAGTTGGAATGTTTTGTTGTTTGTAAAAGTAAGTAGAATGTGACAACTTGGGAATGAATGAATGAATGAAAAGGGAACATAACTAGACATGAATTTCAATTAGTATCATGATTCATGACAAAGTTTCAATTACAACTTATGATTATTGATTGAGGACTAGTATGTACTGTAGTTTAATTTTACATATATAGGTTTATAACGTTATTTTGTTGTTGTTAACGATTTTTTTTCTTGAATGTTTTGTAATGCTTCCTTTCTTTTGTATGTTCCTTGATAGTAAAGTCACAAAATTATTCATTGTCATATTAAAGTAACTGAACTTTACCCAATATAACAGTGAAGTCACTAGGCTTTGAATTTAACTTGCTTAGCAGAAAATAGAAGTTATGCAAATTGATTCGCTAATTGAATTTGTGCACACAATATTTGATTGGTTTGGGAATATTTGGTTTGTAATATTTATTGATATTTCAAAAAAAAAAGAAGAGGGGTCAAGTTGAGCGGTTTGGGCTACCAACTATTATTTAGCCCATCTTGAGTTAGCTCATTATAGTCCAAATAAACTTAGGACATGATTGAGCAACGACCCATTGATTCAGTCCATTCTGATCCATTCAAATTATGTTCAAACCGTTTTTTCGTCACGCCTACACATGACTAATAATATTTTTCAAAGAAGTGTAAGTTCCAGATATGGCAATTGAAGAGCCAAAAACCAAAATCATCCAAATAAACACAACTTCCGAATATGAAGGCTTCTTGATCTTGAGGTAGCATAGGCATGGTAACAATATTGACACGGTAACGCCCAAAAGTGCGCCAGTAAATGTCATGACATATCCAAAAAATGGAACGGTTAACGCCACAATGGCTGTGCTGATGACCAAAAATGTTCTGATGAAGTAGCTCACGATATATTTACTCTTTCGTAAAGGTAATGTATCTTCAATAGCCGTTGCAATTGGAGAGATGACAAGAGCATACTTTGTTATTGGATTAAAGATTGTCGTATATATTGCAATTTTTGAACTAATTTTCCCGATAGGGAGATTTAATGTTATTTGTGACATTAAATTTTGTCCATACATTAAGTACCCCATAGTTGCCATTGATCCATAGGTAATGGTGCTTAATATAAAGCACACAAATAAAACCTGTTTGACAAAAAAAGAAAAGAAAATTAAGTTATATACACGATGATCAAGTAAAATATGTTTATAACTAGGAAATTTGTCTGCGCTTTGCGCGGTCATAAATAATAATTGCATTGAACTTGCAAATAATCCTTTACTAATATCCATACATTAAAAATAATGGAAAAAATAGGTTTTAAAAAAAATATTAGTAGTATTCTAACATGAATTTGATTATTTGACATTATCACATAACTCATGAACCTCTAATGAATGAATTATTCAGGAAATAATAAATAATTGGTTCTTTAATCAACATTAAAAGAAAAATAAAGAAGAAAATAAGAATATATATATATATATACACACACACACACACACACATACACACACACACAAAGGTATTTCGTAGGAAAAAGAACACATTTAAGTTGCACATATTATACAATTGTGATATATGTCTCAGGAAAAAGTTCAATAAATTGTTAACAAATTCAAAAAAGAAATTATGCTTGAACATGAAAACATAAGTGAGAAATTAATCTATATAAAAATAGATAATATGTAAGCTTATATATAGTACTTTTAATTTGTAGAATTTTATACAGAATATCAAAACATGAATTCTTCGAACTGAGTACAATAATTATTTTCTGCACAATAAATATACCTACTATATGTGTATATGTTCAATATAATCGGAGACAATAACTTTGCAGAAACATAAACAATAGAGTTTAAAACATGTACTCAAAAACAATAAATTAATATTATAAGAATAAATTAATGACTGTAAAAAAAAAATACCAGGATATGTAAAAATAGAATGAAATAGAAAGGAAAAAAAATCTAGTCCACTGAAGAAAACTATTCCCCTCTAATACCTGATGTAAGATCCGACAATTTGAAATAGCTTTGAAGATGCTTAGGATTGGAAATTTTCATTTTTTTGGAAAGAATTTTAAAGTTTTGGAAATTTTGGCCAAGTATGGAAAAGGTGAGTTTTTGGCCAACTTTGATCAGTCGTAACTTCTAGCTCATGATGAGTTAGAAGTATTTCCAGTTATGGTTGCATATCCCTCGGAACGATCTTTCCAACGCCACCGAGTTTGCTCAATTCCGAGTCCGTATGAGCGAGTTATGACCTTTGAAAGTTGGGCAGTTGACAAGGAAATCCGTCCGGGAATCATTAAGGGCATTTTGGTCTTTTCTCTAGCCTTTTATTTTGGTTATATAAATGTGTTAGGCTGATCATTTTGATCAGTTTTACCATTTTAAAAAGAAGTGAGAGTGAGGGTTTTGAGAGAAGAAGAAGAGAAGAAGAGAGAAGAAGAAGAGAAGAAGAGAAGAAGAGAAGAAGAGAAGAAGAGGAGATCAAGCAAGGAGATCATCGTGGATTTTCGTCGGGGGTGATCCCTATCAAGGTATGTGAGCTTTTAGTGTTGGGTGATCCTTTCCCCCACACACCTAACCCCTTTTATTCATTAAGAAAGGATTGGCTTTGTTGTTAAAGTTGTGAGTTGTTGTGGTTGAAGTTGTTAAAGTTGTTAGTTGTTGTTGAAATTATTGTTGGTATTGTTGTTGATTGTAATGTTGAGATTCTTGATGATTTGGGACTTGTTTCCGGTTGGGGTTTTGAGTTGAAATCTATTGAATGTTGAGGGATTTCATGTTTTTAAGTGATTGG